AATGGCTAGGGCGCCATTAATTTATTGATCGGTGGCATCAATGAAGTCTAATAGCATTATAATAGTTTAGTTTTTCAACTGGTTTTAATGGAAGTGAATACTGAAAACATTACTAATGAGATCATGGGCACCCAGAGAAAATCAGGGGCCTGAGGCAGTTGATCCACAGGGGCCCCTCGTTTCAAACAAACTTTCCCTCCTCCCACAACTCATAAAAAAATAATTCATTTGTCCATGCATCAGAAATAACTTATAGCCTTAAATTTGGATTAGAAATGAATATATTTTTGTTATTTCTTTCGAATGAAAAAACATTCGGGGCCCCAACTCAGACAGGGCAAGTTGCCCCCACTTCTGGTCTCCCCTGAATGAGATCAATATTCATGTGTTTCATACTGTAAACTGTTGGAACATAAACACAGTCTTATATTTACGTTAAGTGAACCACTATATTGTACGCTGTTATACTGGGAGCTGGCAGGTGCTTCAAGGTATGAAGGGAAATGTAGGATCGTACAGACGGTCTGTGGGACAAATAGCTGTAACAAGCTGAAAAAAATTCAGAAAGGGATAAATGACAATGTCTTCTCCATGCTGAGATCATTTACTCAACAATTTCAGTTCGAGTCCCGCTTCAGACATGGCTGTATTGTGTCTCTGTACGTTTGTGTGTGTCTATTTCATCATTCATCATCATCATCATCATCATCATCATCATCATCATCATCATCATCCATTTCATCCCAGAGATATGAAAAACTGGAATCAGCAATTTGGCTGCACTACCCTGATAATGTCTGAGCCCCGGCGTAATGCACATACCACGTGTCACGTGATAGCCTTTTCCCAAAACAACAACCACAACAACAACAACAATAATAATAATAATAATAATAATAATAATAATAATAATAATAATAATAAAATGTCTTCCTTTCTGGCAAACCTCAGGATGTAAGCCCTGCCCATCCGCCTATCAATCCGCCAAATTGCATATTATACATACTAAACGTACTGATGGTGACAGCTCTTCACTTTACTGAAAAGCAGACTATAAATATTGCTGAATAATTTTGTATACTGTGTTCTATCCTTAAAATAGGTTTAAAGAAAAAAAATGAAGAGGTTTTTAAGGAATTTATGTTTTAATTTTTTGGAAAGATTGCCATGATTTCCACCAAAAGAAAGAATTACTCAATTTTTTTCAGAGTTGAAGATTGATCAGATAGAAGTCAGACTGAAGTTTTTGACTTCAATATTGGATGTGTATGTCAAGCTTGAAAAATTTTTGAACTCTAACGATGTTAAAAAAATTTAGAGGCTTTAATAAAAACCAGAACAATAAATCTAAAAACACACTTTCCCCTATTTGAGCAAAAAAATAAAAGCAACAAATTTCAGTCCCTTTTTAGAAAAATTTTGAAAATGTCACAGAGGTTTTGTGTTCAGTAGGTTTTCCCCCCAAAATTAAAATATCTTAATGGTCTCTGGAACAGCACAACTAGATCTTACTCCTATTCTACTACAAACTAATCAAGGTTGTACTACTGTTTACCATGTAGTAGTGTCTCATCTGACCAAGTTTACCACACAGTATCATCTAATCTGACCGACTTATGAGTCACTTCCATCCATACAGGCATCCCAATTTTCAGATACAAAATTGTGAATATCTTCTCGCGACTTGCATCAATCTTAGGTAGACCTTAAACCCAATGTCTGTGTGAAGTTACAGCTCAAAAGAACATCAAATGCAGATTTTAGGGCTGAAAATTCAAAATCGTATTGTGCCAATATATAAGAAATGAGCACACGTGGCTGTAACAACAAGTCCTTTACTATCATAAGTGCAATGAAACCTTACATTAAAACCAAAGTTTCTGCAAAAATTGGCCATTAATCAAGGTGACGGCTTAATATAGGGTTTGAAAAGCCGTTTTTTAGCTCATTGTGCTAATTGCTATAAAGCAGTATTATTTTTAATTACAGCAAAGGACAAGATATATGAATAATGTGCTTCCTCTCTGCTTAACAGAAACCTTGACTTGTCCCTCATTGTCTTAAACAAGTAATTCACTTTTTGTTCTAGCCCAATCAAACAAGCAAACTGGACTAGAAGATGCAATTCATAGTAGAAACTTTACAGGAGGGCCAACTGATGAAGGAGCTAACAAATGTCCTTTGTATCTGATTTGCAAATGCGGGATACAGCTCCACGAGTCCTTAACAGATTTCCAAAGAAGAGAAGTGCGAGTTAGCAAACCATAAAAATACTGTGAAATTGGAAAAACTAATGTGTTGATGTTTCAAAGATTTATAAAAATCAACTGATGTTACCTGAAACAGAAAATAACCACCCTGCAAGGCTGACTTTGGATGTCATTATTTGAAGTAATTCTACAATGTGTCCTGTTGAAAGAAGATATTTAATCAACAGTTAACTCCACCCCTTTTCCGTCAAGTGTCAATCTACAAAATGTGTCCGGCTGCTGGCAGCTAAAGCAGGTGACGATTGAAAAGAAGGAATATTTACATGCCTCAAGGAAAAATTAATCGGTTCCACAATAAATTGGCCGTTAATAGAAATGACTGCTTAATCAAGGGGTCTGTTTAGTGATGTTTTACTGTAATACATGTGCACGAGGTATAGTCAATAAATCCAGGTCTTGCTTGCACAAGTGGGATTTAGAATTACTATATCACAAATATATATATTAAGCAACTCAAATAAAGCTGTAGAATAAACAGGAAAAAAAGAAAGAATGAAAGGTGTTGAACTTTTACAACAACAGTTTCTTAACATAATTAAATAAATATGGTTTCTGACAAAACAGCATATTTGAGAAAGTTATTTACTATATATAACTGTTTTATGGCATTGAATTGCTTGTTTTCTCATCTATTTCTGTCTACAAGATTTTACAAAAATATTTTACTATAACAATAATTATTCACGTTTTTACTGTCAGGGACCAACAGAACGAGTTTTTTTTTGTCAAAATCACCCTTTTTGGTGCAGCTTTTTAATTCTTTTTCTATATTACATGAATAGTATGAGTGAAAGTAAAAAGTACATTAACTAAGTAAACAAACTATTCTTAAAAATACTATTACCACTGCATCAGAATTCAAAATTAGTGACATCTTTTCTTATGATGTTTGTAATAAAAATTTATAATTTCTTGAACATGCAGAAATGCTTGAACTGTTTCCAAACACTTATGCTGTTTGTCATTTTCACTATTTTATGGCATTGAATTGCTTATTTCCTCATCTATTTCTGTCTGTGAGGTTTTCAAAATAAAAATATTTTATTTTGATACAATTATGGTATTTTCAGAGATCAATATGAATAATAGAGACTAATCACATTTGACCAATGTTAGAAAACATGTGCACATGGCTGGAATTACTTTGACTGATAAAAATTTATAATGTTAGTTGACAGGATTGGTATGAAGTTTGAATAAATTTTTTTCTTACCATTGGACACTCAGTACACGAGTAAAATAGTATATAAAATTCAGTTATGTACAAGTAGCTATTGCAGTTATGGACATGTAAACAAGAGCACCAATGACTTATTTCGGTGCAAATGAGACACAATCCAAATACAAAGTGATACTAATGGCATTTCAACAGCATATACCTTCTTGAAATAATTGTAAGAATTATCTAATGCAATATTGGGAAATCTATCCTATGAACACTTTACAAATCTCTTGGAAGAAAGGAAAAAGATTTGAACAAGAGGCCCTCATTTACACACATATCTATATCTATAATCTATATCTCTCTCCCCCCTCCCCTTGTGTGTGTGAAAAAGACAGTGCTTTCCAACACCTAACAAAATAAACAGAAGTAAAATAATAATTTAGATCATAAATGCATACTTGTTTCTTAAATTTTAACATCATAGAAATCATGCTCAATTTATTCATTTTTGCTCCATAAATTTGTTTGAAAATGAAATCAAATTATAATTTCTATGTAATTACCTATTTCTCTGGTGTTACCTACAAATCAACTTTTGTCCTAGGTTTACAAATTAGGCTTTTTGAAGAGATTTGAAACATACTGGTTTATCTATATTTGTTCATAATTCTGGGTACAGTATATATTTTTAAATATTAAAAGAATTGAAAACAGTGCTTTGTTACCCCTTTGGGAAAATGATCAATTTTAACAAAAGGATTATGGCAACTACACAAATGGCCTTTTTACTCCGAGAATTTATTAAACCTCATTCTATCAATATTATTGAAACTAGAAAGTCCTTTGACCAGTTTATTTATGCAACTTGACATTAATTAATATATTATTTTTAATATTTTTATTGAAATTTTTGTCCACATTTTACTCCATAATTGGAATATTTTTTTATTCCAAATATACATACATTAGGATTGTTACAAGAAATCCATCAATTCACAGACACCTATACTTAAAAAGTTGTGATTTGGTGTAAAAATTAGATTTTCAAAATTTCAACTTCAACTTCTTCAGATATGCGGCTCTATCAGCTAGTTTAAAAAAATTGTCAGTTTCATAAAAAATATGTTTTTAGCAACATAATTACAAGGGTTTATTTATTTATTTTTTTTTAATAGACAATGCTTCCACACTCAATGTCCATCCTCGTAACAAATGGTAGGATCTATACAAAATGGCAGATATATTGAATTTTCTTGGATTTGGTGGAAATTCAAGTTACTGTTTCTAAACATTATCACTAGTAAAAATATTTTATAAATCCCAAATACACTCAGTTTCTTCAAAATAAATAAGAACAATTTTTTAAAGTAGTCAATTTTGTGATCCTCATCTGTGTAGGTAGGACAGCATTGCTGACATTCTAATGCTTAAACCTTTGATACAAAAAATAAGACTTCATGTTTAAATTGAGAATTGCCAGAACGTTTCTCGTAATATGGAGTAATATATAATTCACTTTGTGCCATGAATCCCTAAAAATTTTCTCAAGAATCACTATTTTGTTTTCACGCACCTGGTGATTTGGAAATTTCTTCTTCATTTACAAATGCATTGCAAGAATCAGACGGGAACTGCAACAAGATAAAACAATAATGAAACTTTTGACAAATCAACAATGGAATTAAGGAGACAGCATGAATTGAATATTTGTTTTGAGAAAATGAGGTTTGAAACGTTTTCCTACCTATAATTATTATAGTATACAATATTATATATTCAAGCCTCCATTAAATATTTTAGAAATGAAGAAGAATTTGAAATTATGCAAATAGTTGATCTGCCAAATTAAGAAAGAAATATGCTTTATTAATATTAAAACTTTATGTCCCTAGGGAGATAATAGTCAACAATATCTCCTACACACCCTTTCACTTTGATAGATAATCTTCTTTTATGGTAATCACAAATATATTTTTACTTTATCACTTAAACTTTGAATCTGATTTGCTAATCATATTAGAAGATAGAATGGTTAGAAATGCGAACACTTCAATAACACTGGTCTGTGTCAGTTTTGTATGTTGTGTCACATGTCTGTAATTTTATTTTGTTTGTTTCTTTATGCATCTGCTGATTTCAAATCTGCAATCGATATTTCTGCATGAACTCTAGTTTTTTCTCTACAAGCCAATATACATTTTTGACATTTGTAATCATTATTTGATATTAATGTTAGCAGGATATATGGCGATGGTGTAACGGTTAGCGTACCGGACTGTTTACCTAAGTTCGCAGGTTCAAACCCGATCGAAGCCGTGGATTTTTAAGGGCGAGAAATTCCTTCATACGTCTTCCTTCAGAGGGGAAGTAAAGCCGGCTGTCCCATGTTAGTAGATTTACTTGCATGTAAAAGATCCTCAAGCCTAAATGACGCCTCTGAGCTAAATTCAAATCGCCTGTTTCTCGCCCAAGAAATACCTCCTTTCTCAGCTAGTTGGTGAAAGGAGCGTAGTGAAATTTGCGTGGTCAGGCGGAAGAGCGGGCCTGATGGCCCGAGTCTCACCACGTAAAATAAGACATTAATTCAATTCAATATTTAGTATTTTTAAACAGATTGTTATAATTACTTGAGCATAGTACATGTTAAAGGTAACTAAATTTCACCAATTAACATGAATAGATTTGTAAAAATGGCCTCAATATGTTTTGCTACTTGTGAGGTAAAGCGCAGTTGCCCAAGCAAAGATCAAACACAATGGGTACAGCATTTGTGAAGGCCATCTATTACATTTATTCAGGCAAGACCTTTTCTCCACAGTTATATTGTTAAACATATGTTAAGTAGGCTTAGATGGAACAAGGGAATTATAAAGGCAATTACCCCTTGGTATAGCTATGGTGTGAAGGGAAGGAAACGATCATTTAACATTTTGCTACTTTTGCATGACGAATGTCATGACCTGCCTCCCTTCAAACTTTAAATAAGCTCACTCCCATAACTGGTTTCAAATATACTTTCAGAGCATCACGAGACTGGTCATGAGTTCTTACAGCCTTTATTAGCAAACTCTGGATTTTTGTGTAATTATATTCGTCTTAATTTTTTAAATTGTGGTCTTGGAGAATCAGTAAGGTGCAATCCTAACACAACAGCCAATTTTTTGGTTGCATATTTTTACACATTTGGTACTGTATTACATATTTTGCTTATATTTTACATGTTTTGCAAAACATTTCAGTATTACACCAATTTTATTGTAATTTATTTCACAAAAACATTTAAGAAATTTTCTAAAACTGTTTTTACTAAAAAAACTGCATTATTTTTCTTATGTACATTCAAAATTAGCTGCTGAAGATGTGTGCCTCACACAAAAACACTGTCTGAGGTCTGTACTGCATATATGTTGTGACAAGTGTGCATAAGCACTGTGAATATTATCTTTAAGTGTTGAAAGTATAATTGAGGACATGCTTCTCAATGCCTAATCCTAATTTACACAAGGTATTGTTTGTCAGTAATTGAGAACTCACATTTGAACAATGGCTCACTGTTCTCAAAGATAAAAATGTATTAAAAAAAAACTTAATCCACCGAACAGGCAATATTTAGTTTTAAAATTAGTTTAATAAATATTTGATTAATGTAATTTCAAATTGTGTTAAAATGTATTAGGTTTGTAAATGTTGTATTAATTTGAGCATATTTCAATATTACACATTATATTACTTTTTAAATTTTTGTTACATATTACATTAACATATTTTGTCTTTCATACCACACATTCTTCCAATCTCTAATAGAGCTACAGTGAAAATGCAAATAAGATTTCTTCTTCTGAGTAGTAGTAGTCACTCACATCATAAGAGTATAAGATGACATTCGAAAGTAACAGTTTCTCTTTATTGTAAGAATAGCGGAACCCTGCGAAAATTTCACCGCGAAAACCGCGAACTTTTAGACCTACATTTCATTCATGAATAATTAAAAATTTTAAATGAAATATTTTGAGTACTTAGGACCAGCTTTAATACAGAAACTGTTTTTTGGTATGATGTAGCACGCCATAATGAATTAACATCAGGGACACCCCAACAAGGGGAACACTGGGCTTCTTCTCAATAGTGTAACGAAATGAGTGCACGCCCACCCACAAAACTTTTATCTTGGGCCCCTTTATACAAGTGTAAAGCAAACCCAAGTAATAATAGTATATTAAATAAAGCAAATATCCTTTAACACATCAGAATTCATCAATCAATGAACAACCAATAGTGGAAACATCTGCCTTTATTATTTAATTTTACAAAATTGAAACTGTTTTAAAACCTAAATTAATAGTTTACCTTTATTGATTTAGAAAAAGTTTACAAAAGCTACAAAAGTGGAAAAAATTGTTCTTCTGGAAGAAGCTGTTTCTAATCTTTTATTGTATCAACTATTGCAAGTAGCAATTAGTAATTAATATTTCTTACAATTGCAAAACCTTCACCCCAAAAAGGCCCCCTTTGACCTGGGCCCGGCTGCATTGCGGGCCTGAACATTACGCCATTGCTTCTTCCCCCTCCTACATGGCTGAGAAATGCAATGGAAACCGGTCTTGTGATTTCAACTGCAAAATGACCGCAGTCCTTAATGAGATAGAAAGAAGTTCTGTCTCCAGTATTTCTTTTTTAAGAGAAAACATAACTTTCATAAAAACTAATATTGTACACATGCAAAAATTATTACAATTATTAACTATATGCTATTCAATACATAAATGCATATATTGAGTAAGCTTTTTTTAAAACACTAAGCTTGGAAAAAATGCCTAAAATGTCTCATTTTGAATATTATGGCAGCTCTCAAACGCATAATTTTTTAGCTATGCGCAATATAGTGTGGTGCAGTATGTTGCGAGTCACATCTGCATACTATATTTTAGAAAATAATTACTAAATACAGATGATGTCTGACTCAATTTCAGTCATTCTATTTCGTACAAGTATCTATTTTAAAATGATTACAACTTTCTTAAATGGCTCACTACTTTGGCTAGAAAAGGTCTCTCCAATAGAAATAAAGTGTAGGATATATCAGGTTTACCCTACTTCTCAAAACATATTTGAAATAATAATTTGAATAAACCTCAAATCAACTGATTTTTTCTCTGAACACAAACAAGAAGAAAAGAACACAAAACATTTTTAATTCTCTTTTGCACAAAGCCTTCCGGTCTTCATCAATACAAAATTATCTATCAAGACTTGTTCTGGTTTCACCTACTGGACTCAATGTACTGGAAACACACTACACTGACATTTCAAATTCTCACCTCAACTTCCTCCGCCTCCTCCTCATCTTTAGGTTCCTCCTTGCACATAAGAAACACTGCAACTGGAGGAGCTAATTCTTCCTGCAAATAGAAAGTTGCCATCATCGTCTCAAATATTAACTTTCATTGATGGTTTCCCCAAGATGTATTTAATTTCTCACATGAAGCTGAAGTCCTCTAAATTTCAAGAACACTGGACGGTAAGTGAGTTGACCAACTTACCTCTTCATCATCTTCCTGTTTAACCACACATTTTAGGGGAATGGGATCATCAAGGCCCTGGAAATTACAACAGTGATTATTACACATCTACTTCATTACTATCACATGAATACTTAAATGAAAAGAAAAGGAATAATTAGATTTAGAAAATAAAACTATTATTTTTAGTCATTGAATTCTGATAACTAGAATTTTTTTAATATTATGTAAAGAGATCCCAGACATAATTACATGTTTTACAAAGAATGATTGAGTAAACTAAACATTCCACCTTAATCTGCTGGAAGACAACACATAAATGTTTCTGAAACTTTGAAAATTCTCAATGGACACTACGACTGCCCTGATCTAACCAACTTCTACACTAGATCCACCAATTCAAACTTGAGAGCACACAATATGAAATTGAAGAAAACTACCTTCAGGCACATTAACCACAAGAACATCCTTGCTAACAAGTAGTGGATCTTTGGAACTGCTTCCCACAAAAATTAATCGCACTCACCAGACTTGGTATGATATTATCGTTATATTGTCATTGTGTTGAAATTGTGTCACAGAAGCGAGATATCATTATGCTAATTCTAATCTCTTACAATCTACTTTTACATGCATGTCGGGGGATGATCAGTTTTGCTGCCGCCTATGTATGTATCTACAAATGAACAGATTTTCCACAAGAAACTCTTGCATGCTCGCACACAAGCACTCACTAACGGGATGAAATATTCAAGTATCTAGTGCCACAATCACTTTATTTACTCACTGTCCATTTTTAAAATCAATGCTTTCCTTTCCTGTAGTCAATTTTTTAAAGAATAATTTAAAGAAGTTTTCTTTGTGTTTCCATAAATATTTATGATGTAATTATTGGTGTTAGCCAAATCAGCAATATCATCAGAAGTCAGATTTTACATCAAAATACCTTGCGGCTCAACTCGAATGATGTGCTCTGATAAAGGACATTCAGAAAACAGCAGACTTCAATGCGTGATGTTTCTTGCAGTAGAAAAAAATGATCATCGGACTGTGCAATTTTGCCATCATATCCATAATTACATGTAGCAATAGCGTAACTCAAGCTGGCGGTAGTATAGACATAACTAGATAGCTGTCACTACAATTTTCACAAACTGTCAAGGATTCAAGTAGGGGCAGATTTTAATGAAATGCTGTTTTCTTTCTTTTCTCTTTATAACAATGTCTGTTAGTATAGACATTCATTTTATGTCATGAGAAAAGGAAATTGCTCATTTTTATGTGTCATTTTTTGCATTTTATGTCAATTTCTACTAATAAGTCATTTTTTTTACCTTCTTCTGTTGTTTTTAAAGCAGTTTTTGCTCATTTCATTTACTTTAATGACACTTGTTTCAAATAATATTTACAAGATGTAACAAATGTTCCCCACAGAATTCCTGATGGACTATTCAATCTCTTCACTCAAAAATTGTAAAAGCAGCCATTGTATGTAATTTTAGCTCCTGTAACACTTATCAGCCATTGTTGGTTTGGCCAATTTTACAATAAAAAAAGACAGTTCAAATCAAAAGTTTTATTTATTAAGTGAATTTTTGTTTCAATTGACAAAACTAAAATGTCGAGGGTCGGAATGTTGCTCATGTTATTGCTGGGACTCTTTAACTGGATGCACCATTCAAGATATTCCATTAACAACAGACTTTGTGGAAAATTATAGAAGCTTTACTTATACTTTTAATATTGAATTATAATTTTTCTATGTTAAATTGATCTACCTTCTAAGACTTTTGATTGGTTGGATATTAGGACGTGAATGAACTTGAATATTTTCCCTAATATATGCTATAAAGTTCATTAGAAATTAATTTATTAAACTTAACAAGAATACAATAAAATTAATAAAACATAATTTAATCCAAAATCAGTGTAATTTAATCATATGGTTTCGATGAAATTTATTATGTAATTTTTCTTCGCTTTTAGGGAATTTTCAAAATATTTTGGGTGGTTTCAGGTCATTAATCCACACCCATGTAATCAGTCAGTAACAGTTTGATAATTTGTTCAAAGTGTATGGAAGGCAGTATAGATAAATAACCAACTACAAAAACTGAGTAGACCAAAAAATCACACATTTAAACAATATAAATATACAGCACCATAAAATACATGCAACTAGTCAATCACCATGTTTCAGTTTTTTATTTAATTTGATTGAATAGTAATACCTAATATAATTTTTCAACATTTCATTTTATTAATAAATACGCTAATATTCTTTTAGCATTTTAATTACAATTCTTACTATTAATTCAATAACTTTTCCAGGAGTTTTAGTAAAATTCCCCGACTTTCTCCATGTCATAAGCGTGAATCAGAGCCCTGATCTAAGGCTCCGGTATCAGTTCAGACACCTCATCGAAATTAACTCATAAAACTTCATAAACCTGATCAACAAAGTCAAGTCATGACGATTAGTTTTCATATGTTGGAAAACAGTTTTTCTTTTTACCTCCTGTGTTTCCTCTCCCTCTTCTTGCTCCTCGTCTGAATCTGTAGTTGGTTCCTTTTTCACTTCCAGCAGTCCATCTGCATTAACCTCATCTCGTGGCTCCTCTTTCTCTGCTACCATCTCTTGCGGATCATTCTCCTCTGCCTTTTCTTCTTCTTGAAACTCCTCCTTTATCTCTGGTATTTCATCCATGGCAGTGTTTATCTCCTCCTGAACAATATTCCCACACCCATCAGGTAAGCACCAAATAAAAATATTTATGAATCTCATTGTAAACAAGGACTAAACTGTAATTGAAATTGAAATTTACAGTATTAACATAAAAAAATTTCAATTACAATTAACATACATTTTAAAACCATTTTAGACTAAACCCAATATTTTCATAAAACATAATAATTATGTTAAAAGACAATTTTTCCTTTCATATCATTAACAATTCTCAACATGGCTGAAATACTGAAGATGTAACATTGTGCAAGGCAATTGAAGTCAAGCCTTCATTTTAGAATAATACTGAAGATGTAACAAGCCAACTGTTTTGTCAATGATACTCATCTTTTTGTAACTAAAATTAAAACATTCTGAAGTACCCCATTCAGTGTTTGCTTAATTTTGGATAAGGTGTTAAGGGTTGAAGAAATAGACTTCGAATGTTTTCTTCTTTTCTGTGGACAAGCATTTAAAATTTTCATGATTATACTGTTTTGCATAGCAAAATGAAATCTTTTTGAATAAATACAATTGCAAAACATATGTGAATGAGACATACTGCAAATCCACTGTAGTGCATTTGTTATTACTTTATTACTAGATGGACCCACGCAAACATCCTGCACTTTGTAACTCATTGTTTTAAATGTGATAAGAGCTTCAAACTGTATCTCAACTTCAGGCCAAAACCAGAAATATGCATTGCAGCATTGGGTGCCCTTTATGACAGGACTATTAACATGCCATTTTAATTTTACACAGATATCTAGTTCTTGCTTGTTTTCGACCACCCTGCTACAGAGGAGGAGTTGCCGAAACAGCTACACCTTCATTCCACTTGACCCTCATGTGGTTCCAGATACGCTCCCCAATGTATTCTCCTTGTAAGTTCTCCACATGTTCTCTGAATGTTCATAATGTTCTCTCACATTCACAACGTGTGATTTCACATGCTTACCACAAATTTCTGGCTGTACTCCAGCGTTTCCTACATATTCACCCAAATCTTCCTCACTTATTCACTGCATGTTACTGTTGCACTTATTAATCTGGAAATTAAAAAAATTGTGTTTTTTTTAAACAAAATACTTTTATGAATGTTATGGTGGCGTGTAGTGCAATACCTCCTTTGGTAGATGAAAGGCAAAGGTCGGATTAGCTGGAGTTTCAGGAAGAACAAAAACCTCAAAAAATGCAATAGACGAGTCCCAAATATTTTAGGATTGCAGAATTTGTATGTTGGTTTCCTTACTAAACAGCAGCTGTTTATCTAGCTGGTCAGTAGCTGCCGTAAACTTGCACTAATAATAGTGGGACTGACGTCTAAAAAAAAAACTTTTTTTTTCATAATTATCTTATATAATGAATCCTTGTTTTTATTTCTCAAATGACCACTAAGGCTAATGGCCTCTTCCATTTTCATAATTTTACTAATTTGCTTTATAATGCTTTGTTCACGGTGCAAAATAAATTCCTGTTTCAAAATCATTCTACTAGAATTTTAAATACAGCACACATTTTAATATACAATATAAAAGGCAAGTATTATATTTAAACATTCTTATATTTTCTAGTTTATTTGCTAATGTGTAGACTAGTAGAAAATATGTAATAATTACTGTTTGGAAAAATACGTAAACAAAAAACTTCTTTGGCCTACTGCATTTAAGTTGTTTTGAAGAGTTCCTTTTTTATCTTTAGCAGAAATGAGAGAAATGGTACAAATGTGGAAACTCAATGATGATTAGCAGAGAATCACTGCACAAACAGCAAAATTGGAGGGCAAATTAGTTTCCTTGTGTTTGATGAGCCATTTATTTAAAATGGCATATCAAACTTACAAGGTAGCTTTGGAAGAAAGTATTTGTATAACACACGTAATCGTAGTCAGCATCTAAACATTATTGGATATACATGTTCTTTACGCTAAAATTAAACAAGAATGTACAAATTAATTTTTGGTTTTGTAGTTATTTCTGTACAAAACTACTATTGTAAAGCAAACTATTAGAATGAATTAATTCTTGTTTCTTCACTCATCGTTGTTACATCGTCGTATTGCAGATTGGAACTCATAATTCAGTAATAATGATTGTAAAAGACACATCAGGAGGCCAATTCCTTAACAAATGGATTCTTTGAAAGTAGACAATTGGTCAACGTGAAAAAAGCAGTTTGAGAAGTATCGCAATGTGTCCTGATTTACAAAATATAATAAAGGCATGGGGAAACAAACACACACACCTAATTTATTATGTGGAAGTTTGTGCAGATGAAACATAAATAGCTTTGCATCTCAAAGAAGAGGATGATAACAGATATATTCAGCTAATATATACCTTTGATAATTATTTTCTCTTAAGGAATAATGTGATATAGAGAAAAAAAATATTAATTTGTATAGTCAAAGGGATGACAAATCTACGCAAGAGTTTATTACATCAGTTTATGCTACAGACAAAAATTAAAATTTCAATATACACGATGATCTGTAAAAATTAATTTGATTCGTTATTATATTCTGTCATTGGAATTAAGAATAAAAAATCTGAGCAAATGCAACTCTTTTGTGACCTGACTGGACAAATAGTTGTAAACAATTTAAATGTGTGAAAATCATCTTAATGATAATTTTCAAAATTCATGCCAAATTGAGAGGAGATAATACTTATGATTAAAAAATAATAACTAGAAAAACTATGAAATTTATCCACACTGAACTGTGCATGTGTGGTTTTCAGCATTCAGTTGATTAGGGCCCAGCAGAATGCGTTATACACTTTCAAAAATTCTCAATGACTATCAGATCATGTTATATCTCGTAAGAGATTCTCATTTACTTTGAGATAAAAATGCTTACTTAAGTGTAGTTGTGTCTTAATGGTGTACTTATATTGGAAACAGCAAAGTTTCTATCGACTCTTGCCTGTGGAAGCCTACGCTTACATGAACTTGTATTGCTCAGTTATGTTACGAATACAAATAGCATATCTAACATTTACTAACATCTTTCACTCATTTCCTACTTTACAAAAGCTGCTTACAAATTGAGTGTGACACAATTACATCCTTGAATGTTTTTTAAGACTATGCTTTCTTCACCAGCATCACATTCTTACTGAGGATAATTGACTGACATTATTAATTCTTTTATTTCTTAGTTTCAAACTACAGAAACCAGATGAGTGAAGAAACAAGAATTAATTCATACTAATAGTTCTCTTTATAATAGTATTTTTGTACAGAAATAATTACAAAACCAAAAATTAATTTGTACATTCTTGTTTAATTTTAGCGTAAAGAATATGTATATCCAATAATGTTTAGATGCTGACTACGATTACGTGTGTTATACAAATGGATTGCTATTCATCAGTGGCATAACTATTGCCGGGCCAGCAGGGGAAATTACCCATCGCTCACCCCTCTCCCACCACATAAGGAGCTGTCAAAAGCAATTTTTTCTTTTTGTTTAATTGAACACAGATTAATAGCCCTTTACGAAAGCAATTTATTACCATAATTTGACTAGTGTAAAGTTTGAATTACGTATTTTATGATGAGGACACACAGATACTTTCAAAATTTGTAATTTGTATTATTTTTTTTCTTTTCTGGGTTTCATGATATATAATTTGAATCATTTCATTAAAACATAAAGGAAGGCTGAAGTCAAAGGATTCAAGTGTAATATAAGATGATCTGTGCTTGGGGCCCTTTTTAGAAATATCGACATACTTATTAGAAGCGAAACCTGGGCGAAGTTGTAGATAAATTTGTCAAAGCAAAAGTCCTCAAGACTTGATTCTGAATTTTGTGATTAATTATGATTAATAAAGTTTCTTTCAATTAGATTTGAGAACACTTTTTTTTTAATTGGACCAAACTTTTTAATCCATTTAGTTTTTGAACCAGGGCCCTGGATGGGCTAGTTACACCACTGCTTTTCATAATGCCCCATTACAAAACTGAATAATAAAAGTAATAACCTCTCCATTAATTATATTACTTGCAGATTCAGATGTTGTATACTTGCAAATAATAGATCCATGTCTTTTCTTATTTGTTCTATATCAAAATATTTTCATTTTTACTCATGTCTTTACTGGTACATCAGTTCACAGCTTCAGTGACACAGAACAAACCTCGGATTCAATAACCATTTTCAGCCAAAAAATCTAGTAAATTTTTATATTTATATGATTACATACTAGTGCAGAGTCTACAGTCCTTAGTTCAAGAGAAAACCTCATCAATTAACCAAAACGGAATGCTGTCTCAAACTGAACCCTGCCTTCAAAGTGTGATCTGTCATTCCAACTATTCAATTCATAATATATACTATATTCAAATTTGAAATCGTTTAGACTGAATCACAAAAGGGTGAAGAAACATTAAAAATATTTACCAAAGCGAGAATGTCACAAATAAACCCGTGTTAAGAGATATTTTCTTAAGAAATAGATTACGTATTCCATCACAGAGCAATAAAAATGTTTTCATTTCTGGTGTTTTTCATATGGTGTAAGGTAGGTCTTACATCATGATTTCCCAAACCGAAGGAATCGACTCACACACCCCCGAGAATTAGAAGAACGACAAAGTTGTCCTGTGAACGAGTAAACGACACGGCATGTGCTCATTACCTCGATCCATGGAATAAGCATAGAGGAGAGATACAACTAGAGTGCGCGTGAACCTACTGCGCAGGTTTCAACATGCGGTGGCCGCAAGTCACGTGACTCTGGGACACCGTTGTTTTGCGTTGTATTGTGTGTACCTTTGTGTGCTGTTTGTTATTTCTGGTGTTACAGCATAATTATTTGGGGGCGTTGTGGAGATTTGCTTACTACAAACGATCCACGCGTGTTTGAGCTTTAAGAACCGTGGTTCAGTATTGTTGTTGCTTTGGCTGCAAAGTGTATTGAACTGCGTCCTGAACTGTGCATTGAGGTGCCAATTGACCATATGTACTTGCCATCAGTAGACAATCTTGAAACTAGATTGTCTCCCTACGTTGTGGACATTGTAACGTACTTTGGAGGATTTGTAGTAAAAAAGTTGGAAATGTCACTTGCTTGTTGATTAGTGCGAATTACGTATAAGATAATGGTTTAGACCTCATTTTTGCTTAATACCCGATTTTTAGAAAAATTTAAAAAAAGTTTTAAAACTACAAAATTGAAGATAGATTTTTGGCTCAGTCTGTTGAACAAAATTAGGTCTTTAAAAATGGCCATGTACTTTGTTTGTAAAAGTAGTTTTGAGATAATTTGCGCTTGAAACTTACGATTGTTTTTTCTCAAAATCGGCTCCATTTTTTAAAAAAAAACTATCCACATATAATAAAGAATGGTAAGAAATATGGTACTAGACCCATTTTCGGGTATTGCTAGTTTTTTTTTTTCGAAAATTGCAAAACAATTCATAACTATAAAATGGACGATATGTTTGTCTCAGAAAAAGTTTGTTGTAGAAAATTAGCTTTTTAAATAAATAAAATAGTGATGCTGTAAAATGGCACAGTCGTTCTCGCAGTATTTAGTTTTGTAATCTCTTTAATCTAGGATTTCAGTTGTGACTGATTCTGTTCCCAGATACCTTCTTTGGTCCCCCAAAGGACATTTTTTCCACATTTTCTCGATTTTTCGGCTTCTCGGTGGTAGAACTGAAACCACCATATGCTTATTACTATTATATAACTGTAAAACCATGTGCTACCCGGGTGGCTAGTTGGTATTTACGGACTTAGCTCTTCGGAGGGGAAGATAGCTGGTTCGAGTCTTAGTTGAATATTATTTGTCACAATTCTCTATGGGCCGCAGAAAATAATTGATAATTCTAGAAAATTTATTGAAAACCATTTGAAGCAATTCTAATCACAAATACTATTACTGAACATAAATAAACTGGATCTGTGTTTATGTGATTTTCGAATTTTCAACTTCTATACAATTTTTCACATCTTTTATTGGATTTGTAAAACATCTCCATACATCAATAGTCTTTCGGCTCTTATGACTATTACAGAAGTAACAATTCTCTGAATAACCCGGGTGGCTGAAGTGGTTAAATGTCAGGTTCGTCAGCGGCGTTTCGAAGGGAAATGCCGCTGGGTCGAGCGCGTCTCGGGGATAATTATTTGTCACAACTCTCTGTCGGTGCAAAAAACTATTGAGAATTTCAGAAACCTTATTGAAAATTACTTGAAGCAATTCTACTCAGATTTACAATATATTAAGATTCGAAATAAACTAAAAGTGTCTGTCATTTTCGTATTTTGAAACTGTAAACAATTGTATAACTCTCTTTTTCTATTTGTAAAACGTATGTCAGATCAAACCAATTGTTCAATACAATATGCAAATCAATATAATATTGCGTTGAGCGTTGAGATACATTGCGGAAAAGTATGAGCTTTGGCAATACCATTAGTTTGTTGTTGCAATCACTCCAATTAAACTAGTACGCCGCAATAGCTAAAATCATAAATTGCAGTCATTTTTGTAAATTCATTCATTTGCACACCGATCATTTTGGATTTTAATTAAATGTGTTGTGAAATTAATTTTGTATGTTTTATTGAACGTCCCGCATCCAAAGAACTCCCTGGAAGGTTACAGTTTAAACATTTTCCCTCCCTCGGCACGAGCCATAAGAAGGAAACACGGATTTTTGGGGTTTGTCACCCTGTTACAAAAACGGTTTAGATCGACAGTTCTCCCTGGACATTTCCGTTCCTTGGCGGAAACGGGTGGGGGGGGGGAGGTAATTTTGGTACCATATGACGGACCGTGATTCATCCCCGTGCTCCCCACCCACCAACAAGGAGACTACACTAGGGCGTCAGGACTGACACGGAGATGTAGTGAGGGGATGACAAAGAACAGCCCCGCCACAGCCCTCCCAGGAGCTCGAAGACCTACGTAGTGCCAGCCGCTTGATAGGGGGTGTATTAGCTCCCGGCCGCCCGTCTAGAAGAGGCTGAGGCCAAAGGCACATACCCATAAGCACGCTACACATATTACTCGCGCAACTTTTCTTGAACGATGACCTTGATCCCCCTCCCTTGTGCAATAAACAGTTGAAGGCAAAAGCTCGCAGCGGGCACTGAGGACAACCTTCCAAGCATTAAAACTTCGTTGGCGCGACACAGAAGCTAGTCAAAGTCAGTTGCTTTCATAGTGCAGAACCCCTGTTCAGGTTTATTGTCAATATCGAAAGAAATAGCAGAGTCAGGTCCAGGTCCTTCAAGGGAGTCACCTAAAACTCTCGAAAAAGTTAAGCACAAGATGCAGTTTTGACTTTCATTTCACAGACGTTGGCATTACTTAAAATACTCTAGTGGCCCACTTTGTAACTAATACCCCCACTCCACCCGAAATCGTCAATCCATCGTTCAAGAAAAGTTGCCCGAGTAATACCTATACACGCACTCACCAAGATTCGCTGGGGTTCGGACGAAGCCCACCCCAAGATTCCAGCGTCAAGGTGGTGCTCGAGCGGCCATTCCGACCCCTCAACCTCCAGGTCAGCCATTCCCTTCGACACGGGTACGGCAAACACAAGGGTGGGCGTTCAGCACACAAAGAAGGCCAGTGAGGAAAAACGAGTGATAAAGAACGTGGGAGACATGAAATGATAAGCAAGAAGACGCAAGGTGAAGAAAGAACACATGAGAGCCCTCGTCAAGGCGTGGATCAACCCACCTCGACAGGAGAGGAATAAGAGAAGGGCGGGAGTGAAAGAGGAGGAAGAGAGGGAGAGGAGAGGAAGGAGAATTAATTCAAATGATTTTTCAAAGCAAAAACAACAAAGATTTTTCATTTCTTTATTGAAAATGAACTACAACAGCTTATGCTCCAAAGTGGCTTTTTATTTGATTTATTTAGTAAAAAACAGTAAAAAAACAACTGTGACATATGGGGAGAAAATAAAATGCGCACGTTTTCTTGAGTTCCAGAACCCTTTCTCAATATTTGAACTATAAATAGTTGAAAGACGAATAAAAGTTAAATAATAACAATAAAATTTAAAAAGCGCGAAATTAGCAATATTTGTAAAAAACAGGCATTTTCGTTCCCAAGTTATTGAAAACTTTATTTGCATCGGCAAACGAATTCCAGATTTGATTCCTCTGTGTTGTCAACAAAATAGCAACTCAACCCCAGCTCTACTCCTACCACTACAAGCAAAAGGAGAATTCAACAAAACGTGCGCATAGTGATGCTACCTACATAGCTAGATACACAATTTCCTTTTGACAATAATCATTTTACAAAAGAAGAAAAATCGAAGATTAAACAAAAGATACTACTACTACTGCTACTACTACTAATACAGAAACCATAAAATCATTAGGTATACAGAAGGTATTGTTACAGAACATACAGAATAAGGCGTAAGGAGAAATCCTTAAATATATTGATCACGTGGACTAAGCCTTTATACGGTGTAATGACAACGTTAGAGAGTTTTAGCAATTCGGATTGCGTTATGCATTTAAAAAGGAAACATTTAAGCGTTGAACAGAGGACTTGCATAATCGAGTATATAAAGACTGTACACTAAGTGGGTTGACATTTAAAACACTCAACAGAATAACAAATACACATTGTGCTTGGAGTTTTACATTTCGTGGCCCTCCGTGATGATTATGCAGCCTGGAATTTGGAATCTGCTTTTCTTGAAAATATATGAAATACTTTAAAACAGCGTTCGTTATGAGCATAAGACATAACCTATCTCGAAGATATGATTTGAATTCCTTTTTCGCGAATTTATTTCCTGTCACCTCTCCAACATATCCTGTTAATTCTTGCCAGCGTTGAGGAGTTGGTAAGGAATAATTGTAACTGCCTCACATACGAGAATTGGTTTATTAGAGTTGGAAAAAACAACTTTTCTTGTTTTTAGGCGGCTATTTTGCCGCTTGTAAGGTGCCCGTAGAGACCCCCACAGGCGTGCACTATTTATGAAGGTATAAGGTCGTACCTTAGGCCTAAGGTACGACGTTATGACTTCAAGGTCTGTCACGTGACTGTTAGTGCATAACGCCGCTACCTTACGCGTGGCGCTAAAACTCCCTAATGGTAGGTATATACAGAAGGCACATACGAAGGTATCTCGCAAGTGGCCCAAAGCAGGGGATTACGCTGCACGCTCAAATGGCAAAGTGTCGAAATTTGTCGCAGAGAGGCGGTGCAGGAAATGACGTGCGCTTTGCGCTGTGCCGTCTGACGTCGTTCATCGTCACTCCCCTGGATGCGCAATGACATGTCCTTCCACTCTCTCTGCAGCTTTACTACAGCTTACTGCATTTGGTTTCGTGACGCACAGCGTTGACATTTGTGCATTCTGCCCCTGATGGAAAGGCATGGGTGAGCTAATCCGGCGCACCAAGGTTGGCTGGTTGGCTCGTTCTGCGCAGCTCGTTCACGTCACGAACCACGAGACCGAAACACGGGCGCTTCGTCTGAAAAACCAGCCGGACGCTGGCCGCCATGTTACATGGCAAGCAACA